TTGGCATGCCTCAACTCTGACCATGATTTGATCTTCTTTACTTTTTAATTACCTTTCAATTTGCTTTGTTTTTTCAAAATGCCATATTTCAGGTTAAAACAGCCTATGAAACAGAATGTTTTACTTGGATCTAAAAGCATTAAATCTGAATGTTAAGTAATTTTGATATTTTTCTCTGGTTGCCTGTCCATGCTCACTTTTCAATTTTTTTAAACACATTTTTTAACTTGGGGACCTGCTTGCCCTGAGGCAAAGGAGTATGACATAATATCATATAATATCATATCAATCATATCATATTGCTATTATCATAGTAATAGCAGAAAGCTCATTTTTTGCATTCAGCGCTGGTCCAGATATCACAGATATCACAGATATCAGGTATTTTCAAATGAGCAGCCAGCCTTGCTGGTGTGGGAAACACACATGTGTAGTTCAAGCATTGTAGTCAAACCATCAGCAAAGTGTTTTCATGTGCAGTTGTAATTTGGAATTCCTGTTCTTGCTTTTTTGCAAAATCAGTTGTAAGTGGCTTGGTGACTCCTGGTGACACGTGTCATGCCTGGATGCTTCTGCTTGGAGGTATTCTGACAAGGCAACGAGCTGCTAGCTGATTCTGACTTTTTTTTTCATGCCCTTTCTTCTCTTCTCCTCGCTATTTCATCAAAGGCTGGTCATCAGCTGAGCCCTCAGTCCTTTCTCCTGCACTGGCCCAGCTGCCTACAGCTAAGTCTGCTCTGGGTGTTTGACAAGGACCTCCACCCAGACACGCTGATTGACAAAAAGCTGTGCACTTCCATCCTCGGTCTAGGGTGAAAATACCCAAGTCTTGCAAAATTGTCTTGGGACACAAGGGAAGATGCAGCCTGTTGGGCAAGTTTGGGCTTCTTTCCCACCCAGGGTGAATGGAGTGATGGTAAATAACACAGCCACTCAGGATGCTCCACTGCAGAGGATTGTTTCAAAAACCCCATCTCCTCTGTCCCCAGATGTGTGAGTGCTTTTCCCCTGTGATAGTCTATTCCATAAACAGATCACCTTAAAAGAGCATATTTAGAGCTAACACATTTGACTTTCCTCTAGAACAGTTGGAAATAAAACCACTCAGACTAGAACACTTCTCAGACAGAATACTGAAACTAAGAGTTATGAGTTCCTTTTGCTCCTTATTTTTAACTGATGCCTCACAGCTAAGGCAGTCTGTGTCATAATTTGGACATGAGAACACAGGATCAGATGATTCAATAAATGCAAGTGCTGGGGTCAGGCTGAACAATATGTGCAATGACACGTGGCGCAAGAATTACCTGAGTCCCTTTTCCACTAGCAAGGAATCAGCAAAATATTGCCATGCACTATCTGCATTCTCTGTGCACTCATTTCTTGTGAAAGGGGCACAAAACGCACCTTCATCAACATCCATGAAAGGATTCTAGGAGAATCTCATAGGAGAATACCATGGAGGAGGAATTTTCCATGTAAAAGTCACTTTTAACAATACTCTAAAGTTGCTGAACAGCTGCAAGCCAGAGAATACAGACTGATGCCTGTACCTGTCATACTACATTGACAGTAAAATAATTTATTAAAGATATATATATTTTATCTAAACTATTTAAACTTGATAATGTTCAGGAAATTGTCCCAACAAAAAGTATTGCTTTGGAAAGGTAAGAACAGGACTGCAGATACAAAATGAGTTTTGAAGTCTAGAAAAGTTACATACATATGTTCTTTGTACATGAGTTCTTTGTACATGAGTTCTTGTGACCATAAAAAACATTTTTGGTTATTTTGTAGAATTTTGTTATTAGTATTATTTTAAATAGAAAAAAAAGTTCCTGGAAAGGTAGAAGAAGCACTGTCCTTTTACTACAGACATAGTTACTGTATTGGCATGGTCAGTGTTCTCTCCTTTCTCTTCACTAACCATGCTCTATATCCAAAAAGCTGCAAAACCACTTATGTCCACAATGTTTGTTTTCATTAGTAATTGAGAGCTGAGGTTTACAAACTCTGGAAAAAAAGATGTCAAAAACATCAGCTGACTGAAAACTTAGATTTTCTGTAGAAATGTTCAATTTATAAATTCTAAACTAAACTTCGGCATAGACAACCACTGCTACATAATTTTAAGACAAAAATATATAGGGAAAAACGGGTTTGTTTAATAAGGTGTGAACTCACAAAGTGAAAAAAAAAATCAACCCAAAAACCCCCACTTCTATCAACCTATGGTCTGTGTTAAGTACTGAATTAAATTATTTATTATAAACAACAGCAAGGAGATGTTAGAGGTCAGAATTATGTTATGCTCTGATTAAACTAACAATTAAGCATGGAAAAGCAGGCACCTATGGGGAGGACTGTACATGGCTGTGATAACATCTCTCAAAGTCTTCTGCTTTGGTTGAGGCTGAGGCTGGCTGTCCTTAACAGACTGAATTCAGCAGGGGAGAAGCCATTGTGGGTAAGGCCTGTGCTGACACTCACCTGCAGCCTAATTATACAGTGACCCTTAGGGGCAACAGGTACTGTTTGAACTGCCAGTTGCTGATTAGACAGGAAAATAATAACACTGTGAGTATGGAACAAGTGAGATAAGCTTGGTAGAAACTGCACTGAATGAGAAAACATCATTATTCTTATGTCAATATGGAAGATGATTCTGTGGCTTCATCTTCTTGAATTTTTCATATACTTGGTTTATTTGTGATGCTTTTAAACTCAATCTGTTATGCAAATATTCTCCAAGGATTGTTTTCATAGGAAAGAAACCAAAATAATTTCTTTAGGCAGCTATCTAACTTTCCAGTCAGTGAAAGCTGTGATTAAAAATGGCATCATATCAAAAGCTACTGTTATATATGTGCTACCTGCAGCCTGGATGCAGCCAGATATCTAACCTTTTTGAGAAAATAGACTGCTTGATGGCAAAAATAGTAGAATTTTGAACAGTTATGTGAAGTTCCTGTACAAAACAAATGCTAATTACACTGCAAGGTAATTGGGTGATGAGACCTGTATTAGAATGGAGACATTGAGTGGAGAGATTTGGGTGACTAAGTACCACAAGCTGTGTAGTTGAACGTGCCAGCTCCTAAATGAAACCGCATCTGTGACTTATAAAAAACCAATGCTGTAAATGAAGTCATGGAAAACAACCAAAAAAAGTATCTGGTAAATGACTTAAATATTTCAGTAATAATAACTGAAGTACTTCTGTTTCAACACATAAAGGCATAAACCTTTCTAACTGAAATATATTAGTGCATGTATTTAATTCTTCCAGCTCCAATTCAATTGAAAGTTGAACATACCTACTTCTAGAGTGAAGCCTGGTGAACTAGGCAATGCTGCTCTTTCATATAATAGGTACTCTGTTTTTCTCATTGGCTTAGAGAAAAAAGACTGCTCTAATTTAAAGACTTCTTTCTTTCATGATTGATGCTCACCCCACAATCCACCCAAAAAAGAATGGCAATTTTGTGCCTAGAAGAGGAGAATACTTTTTATATGTAAATGATTATTTAGTGCTTTAAAAAAGGCCTGTCTTCAGAGCCCTCCTTATAGATGAGGCTTGGTAATATTTGAATCACTTAGAAGTGGGATGCTAGGTATAAGCCCTACAAAGCTGAGACAGGCACCTGCCTTCTTGATGAGCTCCATCAGAGATGGGCTCCTAGACTGTCATCACAGAAATTGTCTGATAGGCAAAAAACCTGAGGGATTTGATGGAAAACATGAAAGGCAGAAGCATGCCTGAAACTCTGGTTCCCCGCATGCCCTCATGATCATGATTGTGGATGGTGAAGTCTAAGATTAAGATTTATACCATTAAGCTCACGTCTTCTGCTTTGGCTCCTGAAGGTCAACAGCACTACCCACTCAGAAAGTAAGAGAAGAGTGTATCACCCCTTCTGTGGGGAGGGGTTTCTCTTGGGGGTTCATAGGTTTAGCAGAGCAGATAGGGTTGCTCAGATTTGGTTAGAAATAAAATCTAAGCGTGTGGTCCAAATCAACTCCTTCTGTCAGGCCAGAATAAAAAATGTGAACAAACTTACTCAGATTTCATCATGTCACGGGTGCAGTAGGAAATACTGAAGTAAAAAATTCTGCAGAACTACTTGTATTTCTCCATAACTGTGTTTTGTTTCCTCCTTACTTTTCTTCAGTTGTCATGAATAAAAATGCCTGACTAGTCTGACTCGTGCAATTCCTAATTTCAGGTTTGTAACACAAAAAGAGAAATGTCACAAAAGCATCTTTCTTAAATTGGATGTTTTTATTAATAACTACTCTTCAAGGTTTTTGTTGGTTTTTGCTGATGGAAATGAAACCACATAGAAGTGTAATTTGTCCCTTAATCCAGAGAAGAAAGGAAAAAGACAAAGAAGTGCCCATAATGTCCTGTGAAAGTAAAATTCCTTCTTTATTTTACCAGATAAAAAAAAAACCTATGTTCTTTTCAAAAACTGCTTAGTAAAAAAATGTTTTGAATGTATTTTTAAACACCTGAATAAGTTTGCACAGTCTAGAATCTCAGCACTTAGAAAAATCACTTTATCAGAGGACTTAGCAAGAGCAAAGACTGTGTGAGGCAGACAGAAGCTGCAGACGAACAACAAGCATAGTCTGATGGACTCTAATGCCATCTTCTCTCCAGAGGTCTGTTAAAAATTTTTAGACTGAAGGGAATTGTCATTACTGAATTCATCTACGCTGCTATTTTTAATTGGAGTGAAACTTGTACAGATGATGCTACAGATGCTTAATTTTACTGATACTGAACCTGTTTCATTAATATGCATGTTGACTGAATAACTAACTACGAACCTTCTAAAATGTGCTTCTAATCACATCAGCATTAAATATTAACTGGAAAGCTGACTCTATCATTCAGTCACATTCTCATTTTCCCAGCTTATCATTACATGTGTGTTGATGGAGGTAGTTACTTTTGCTGGTAATTTCATTTATCATAAATAAACACATTTCTCATGGTTGTTACTTACTTAGCAGAATGGAGCAGTACTTTCTCCATGCAGGTGGGTGAAAACAATATTCAGTGGAGGATGGGCTTGGGAGTGCAACTTCTCGGAAATGTTTTGCCCGAGGGATTTTGTGCTATCTTTTCTCTCTCTTCTTCCTCTTCAGGGAATATTTGTCTTAGGATTGCCGTATGCTCTCCTCCACAGTGGATACAGTGGTCTACTTCTTATTGTCTTGGCTGCAGCATTATGCTGTTACACAGGCAAAATTCTAATTGCTTGCTTGTATGAAGAGAATGAAGACGGGCAAGTGACAAGAGTGAGAGACACATACGAAGATATTGCAAATGCCTGCTGCAAAAAGCTGTCTCCCAGTCTAGGTGGCGTAGTTGTCAATGTGACCCAAGTGGTGGAACTGATCATGACATGTATTTTGTATCTGGTTGCTAGTGGGAACTTGCTGTCACACAGTTTCCCGTATGTACCCGTGACTGAGAAAACTTGGTCTGTAATCGCATTTGTTACTCTGTTGCCTTGTATATTTATCAGAACTCTCAAAATTGTTTCCAAACTCAGCCAGCTTTGCTCTTTGGTTCATTTTGTTATCATCTTTGTAGTGATAACTTACTGTCTCACACAAATACGTCAGTGGTCCTGGGCAAAATTCAGACTCTCTCTTGAATTTGAGGACTTCTTGGTCTCTGTAGGGGTGATCATTTTCAGTTATACTTCACAAATATTTCTTCCCACACTTGAAGGTAATATGAAAAACCCAGGGGAATTTAGGTGTATGCTAAATTGGACTCATTTTTTTGCCTGTATCTTGAAAACAACCTTTGCACTTACTGCTTTCTTGACCTGGGGTGAAAAGACAAAGGAAGTTATTACTGACAACCTGCCATCCTTTCTTGAAACCCTTGTGAATTTATGTCTTTTAACCAAGGCTCTTCTTTCTTACCCTTTGCCCTTTTTTGCAGCCACAGAAATTGTGTATTCTTGTATTTCTAAAGACAACCATTCCAATTACAGATCTCTACTTGCTCTGACTGTAAGAGGCTCATTTCTCTTGTTAACTCTGTTGATGGCCATGTTCACACCACATTTTGCCCTGTTGATGGGTTTGTCAGGCAGTGTAACAGGTGCTGCTATGACTTTTCTTCTTCCTTCTCTCTTCCATTTAAAACTTAAATGGAAAAAACTCTCCTTCTTAGAGAAATGTGCAGATATCTCTGTTTTTATTTTGGGCTTCCTTTGTAGCCTTGCAGGCATAGTTTGCTCAATAAAAGGGCTGCTTGAAGTATTTGGAGGAGTATAAAGATTTCCTGAAAGACAAATAAGGAGTAAATCTTACAAATGCTCTTACCGTGTTAGTCAATATATATGAGATTTTGTCACTAGGTAGAATTAAGCATCTGCTTAAATGTTTGCAGATTCAAGACTTTAACTGGAAAATTATCTCTAAGCAAACTGGAAAATAACATTCATAGCCAAAAATTACAAAATTAGGGCTCTTAAAAACATTAAAAAGAAAGATGTTGGAGATGATTTAACATGAAAATAATAGTAAGTAATCCTACATGGTTTTAGTCATACATGGCATGCACATCCTGGACTTACTATGGCAAGTGATTTCACCAATTTAACCAGAATTCTTCATAGGGTTAGATACTGTTCAGACTCAATACTATCACAACTAGCTTACAGGATGTGAGTGAGAGATCATAGAATCACAGAATCACAGAATTCTATTGTTAGATCTATTATTGAAAATGGTTGAAATATTATTTCACCTTGTTGGCAGACTGCAATTCAACACGTGAACAGAACAAATCAGTGAATTTTGGTTTTTATGTAAGACAAATCCTACTACTTGTTTTGTAAATGAATAGGCAAAAAGAGAGCTCAGTTTAGAGCAGTTTTGAAAGCCTGCTTTTATCATGACTTCAAATGGGAATATAGTCAGAGTAAAAGGGGCATTCTAACAGTTCAAAGTCATGGAAAAGAGATTTTTTTTCTGAAATAAGCTATAGCCAGTGACTGCAGCATTTCTGCAAGTCTACCTCCTAAGATTCATGTCTCTGCAATGCAACTACTCTATTGGTTGGGTTACTAGAAGTCTCATTGCTAGCATGAAAAAGTTATGCAGTTTACTCTCCCTGTTAGGGAGGAAATTTCTTTGATCTGTTAAAAGCTCAGTGGAGTAAATCAAGTTCAATAAACAGGCACACAGTTAACTTCCTGTACAATTTGGTAGATCTTTAGCTTTAAAAGTTATTGGCTTAATAAAAACTCAACACTGCAATGTATTTCGCATTAGTGATAAAACATTATGACAAGAAGCAATCTAATCAGAGTGCTCTAATGAATACATATCTTATCACACTAAATCTCTGTTATGATACTTAATTAAAGTAATTATTTCAAAGAAGAAAGTGTGCATTTTTGTTATCAACAATTTCACACAACCTGGTACTGCGTCATATGGAAAAGTCTTTGAACGACAGAGTAAATCTGGGTGATGAGGGGCCCAGCAGTATCTGCTTAACTGAGCTATTTTTGCTATGTAGTTTCTCAGCATTAATGCTTCTGTCCTGCATGAGCAACAGTTGCCTCTCAAGGCTGATTTGCTGAATGATAAAAAAATAAAGAGAGGAGTTCTGGAAAGCCTTGTATGCCACCTTGTTCCTTCCCTGTCTGCTAGTGTACGCATGTCATATGTAATAGTGATGAAAAGTTTATTGAAACAGATTAATTGCATTGCTACAACATTATCAAGAAAACTGAAAATAACTAGTATCTCAGAATTTTATTACTTCTTCCTGCAATAGGTCAAATGCTGCACTCAAATCCACAACAATTTGAATGATATTAAAATTTGTGCTGGAACAAATAGAAGACTTTTTATCTTTATGTAAAATGCCAAAAATACATTGCCCATTGAAAGAGTTGAAAGCTTATTATTACTGCGACGACATAGTCAGAAAGATATTATTACTTGGATGATATTAATCAAAGGATTTCATTACTTTTTGTGTGGAGAAGTTTCATAGATAAACAAACACGTAGGAACAGTATTTGTTCTGTTTATCCTGTATAAATCTCTGAGGACAGGGGAGGTTGTCCAAAGAGTTTTGTAAAAATTCTTTCTGTTACTTTGCTTAGGAACTCTCAAAAAAACCCAAAAAACAACCCTCTTTTCCCATCTCCTACTTTTATTTAATGTGTTTTTTCTCTAACTCTTTGAAAAATTTTGGGATTGCCTCAGTGCATGGAAAGCTTAAAAACCAGGATAAGCATTTTATTTTGTGGCAGAATTGCCTAGCTGATCACTGTGATTCAAAATTGGATTTAGTTGTACTTTCTTAGCCTTTTCAAGAAGTCAGTACCCAGTCCTTTCAAGCCAAAGATGGTCACTCCACACCTAATCATGCTCCCTCTTATGTAAGACCTTTCCTACAAGGGTCTTTATAAAATATGTCCTATTACTTTCCTTATTTAATAATTTAGGTAATTTCTGTTAACATCAGAAAAACAGCAAGGGCTATGGTTAACAAGCCAGTACAACTGTAAATGCACAAAAATGAAAGTCATCCAAGTGCAAGGCCTCAAGAACTCACTTACAAAAGACACCAGATGAAAAGCATAAAAGTTCAAGATTTTTGTGGTCAGCACTCAACAATTTTGAAGTGTGCCATTGTTGTGGGACACAGAGGATATATGAGCTTTGCTTTAAAGCCATGCCCAGATATCTTGATGAGAAGCTGTCTTCTGGGCTCAAGATAAAGTGAACCTCCCAACCTGGAAAGGCAGAGATGCACATACACATCCTACAGACTAAGTCTGACTGTGGTGCTCAGCACAAGGTAAAGGCAAAAATTCGTGATGTAAGATTAACTCACTGGATTTCATTTCCTAAAACTCACAATTACGTCTTTTTAAATATAAACTTATTTCAGAACATTTTCCAATGGCAAAATTCTATTAATAGGATACGTAAAATATTTGCAACTTTCTATATTAGATATTAAAACATGATCTATAGAATATGTTTAGTGAATCTGGAAAGGTGATGGTACCATAAATTATGAACCAAGAGGATCTGCATTAATCTAAGTAATGACTACTTAGAAATTTTGTCACTAAATTTATGCTACCTATCATTAGAATCACTGAAGCTAGGAAAGTAAAAGACTGACTAAATATTAATATATTATTTTGGCCACTCCTGGATTATTAATTGTAATATGATAGTGCTTTATCAAAATTAATTCTAAAAGCAAAAAAACTGACAGCTGTGAACATGAAGAAAATGCTATGGAAAAAAAAATATGTGCTGAAATAAAGCATTTTCAAACACTCTTGCTGCATTTCTTCTGCAAGTAGAAGTATGAGTAAGGGAACCTGCTTCCTTTCAGCAACAATAACACAGGCATTGCCCAAAATGCTTCTCCCATTTTGTAAGGAACACCAATCACAATTCCTATTTCTGACAGTGGTAATGCAGATTTAAGTCAATCAGATTACCCTAAAATTAAAATATAGAGTCAACTAAGTTATTTTAGGAACTTCAAGTGTTTATTTATGAAGGCTTTTCAAAGCTGAAATCTGAAATTAGACTGAAAACCTCACTCTACTGACTCAGTGGGAGAAAAATAATTTACTTAAGTGGAACAAGGTTCCCTGTAGTCCACTAACAATACTTAATTTGCTTTTACACCAAAGTTTGCTCATCACTTTACTTCCTTACCATAGTTTCTTTTCCACATTATTCCATCTCTTCTCTTTTTCCAGCAGTGAGATAAATATTTTTCCTGCCGATGATACTAAAATGTTACAGAGATGTCGGAAGAGATACTGAAAAAATTCTTGAGGCTAACACTATTTCATTAACTCTTCATCCTTGATTGCTCACTTTATTTTTTTTTTGTGTATTCTGTACTTCATGTAAAAAATGCATGTCACAGTAACTGGTTACTCTGAAAAAGTGATTGTATAAAAATGGAACAAATAAGATGTCCTGCAAATGCTTCATTAAGTCAAGTTACAATTTTCAGTACTTTTTTTTCAGAACTACCATATTTTAAAAACTGATAGCTGATTTCTAGGTATCATTTATCCATTTCTTCTCCATTGTTAATAATTCTCCAGATGATATATTGGTCTTAGAAAATATTCATCTTCAAAACTGAAGTAGAAAAAGAAATATATCTCAAAAATATTTTTATAGTGTTCTGAGATTTAGTTGTCCCAAGGGTTCATATGGGATATAGAATGTTGGAAAATTTATTGTGCTGTTTAGTTGCTGACAATGAATGTAAAAATACACAGTCTAAAATCCACCTAAATATTTTTGTTCTCAGCATAAGTATTTGTTAAGCTGTAGAAACATTGAGGTTAACAGTTCTTCATTCCTCCTCAGCATCATTACCTTTATGTGGTCACCCCTCAGATGTCTAATATATTTCTCTTCACACTGTCCCTTAGAAGGGTGGGAGTTCTAAGATCTTCATTTTACAGTTTTGAAATGAATTCTCAGAGCAGAGATGAACCCAAGAGAGAATCCCAAGGAATCTCTAGGTTAATACTTGATATTATACCATGCCTTCATGGTGATTCTGACAGTCAACATTGCTTTTATTTTTCTGTTACTCATCCTTCATTTTGTCTCCTTTGTTGGTTTTTGCCAGTATAATGTGAAGGTATATAACACAGCAAGCAGCCCATTATGCAGCATAAATATTTAACTGAAAGCTGCCTTTCTCAGGTTTTTTTTTAAGACAGAAATATAAAATTATAGTTAAATAATTATATATAGAGGGATGCAGAACATGGGAGAGGAATTAAAGGCAGAGTAAATGCAACACAAAAAGCAAGAGGGGAGATGACAGGAAAATGTGGTGAGGGACTGGAAGAGGAAAACTGAAAACTGGCAAAAGTTTGAGAAGAAGTAAAAAGGAAAAGAAACATTACAGAAATTAAAAAACGCAGAAGGAGAAAAGGGGAAGGCAAAGTGGGAGAATTCATTTAATGTATTATTTAATATAGTCTATAAACGTTTTCTACAGTTTTGCACAAGCAGTGATTCAAGCTATTCCAGTTAATATAAGTCAATATATTGTGTGTGAGCAGTTTTTCTTTCTTTCACTTCCCCAAACCTCTTATGAATTCAAAACATTTAAAATAAAATCATTCTAATTTTTGTGGAATTACCTCTATGTTTAATGTTTTCTGTTACCCAAAGGAATCTTGAAAACATGTTAAATAAATAGTATTCTAAACAAATTCTTTTTCTCTGTGTGTCTTTATCTATTCCTC